TTTAATGGAATTGGATTCTTCCACTGATGTTTGAAGTTTTGAAGTTTGTATTCAATCATCAACAAGAGTTTCTTGAGTTGTTTATTGTACCCGTAAAATTTAAAAAAAGAGAAAAAATTGTACGCATGGTTGGGAATTGAACTCTGGTAGTTTGGATGGTAAACAAGGGCCTTAGCCCTATTCCAAAAAGAGCATTTTTTATGGAACCGATAAAGGGTTTCCTAGATGAAGATTTATACCTCCTTTTTAGGTTTTTTTTATTTAATTTTTTTTTTGTAAAAGTACAAAAGTTCAAAAAAGTCTTCCAACATTTCCAAATTTTGTTTCGTATTTATTTTTTTTACAGAGATCCAGAAAAACTCACAGATTGTATCCCTTCAATTTCTTTAAAGATTTTTTCAGGTGTTTGAATTTTTTTAAAATGCTTGAAGTAAAGAAACAAGTAGAATTAGAAAATTTTTGCAATTTTCAGAAGATTGGCCTCTTATTCGACTACTATAGGGGTCATTAAATTGTTTTGCAGAACTCGAAAAAAAGGATGGAGACATTCAAAGTGCGGTCAAAGCTTAAAAAGGTATAAAAGTAGTAAATTTCAATCAAATTTCTCCGAAGTGTCCAAAAATAACTCTTTACTGATTGACCAACCCTATGTTTTTTGATAAAATGATGTTTGTCGCTCTATTCTTTCGATTCGTTTATCGTGATTTTTAAAACAATTTTTTTTTCGCTCGCTCTATCCATAAACGGAAAACAATGAGAGATATTTCAATAGGTATTCTAGGTAAAGCGGAGGATGATGACATTTTTTCGGATATTAATATAGATACTCATCACTTTTTCTTGTGAATCAGAGTGCATTCAGATTGGGTTGAGATATTTTTTTCTTTTTTTATTTCGCCGAAAAACTTTTTTTTAAAGCAGAAATGATTCAAAAATGAAGCAACTTCTTTTTTCAATTACTAAATTCAAAATGACGATTCAAGACTGATGACGAATAAATAAGTTACTACAAAAATCGTAGTAGTTTGAGCTTGAATCTAATTTTTTCTGCAAAAACTACAATTTTGCAAAAATTTCTCCTTGTTGGTTGACCTTTAAGAGAAACCTCGATTTTTTTAATTTTTTTAGAGTATGTTTTTTTGACTGGAGTTTTTCCTCTTGTATCCATCAAGATTTCGGAGACTTTTTTCTCCCTTTAAATCAGAAAATTTATCAATTCGGAGAGTTTTAAGATGTTTCAAAAAGAGCGATTGAGGTAAATTTCATAGGATTTTATCATTTTTTTCCGTAAAAATTTAATTTAATATTTTTAAACGCTCTTTTGAACCATTTCTATGTCCTTTGATTATTTTTCTCTCACCGATCTTCGTCACATTTTCAAATTTCCAAGTTTCTTTGCAACTTTTAAGAATTTACCTATGCTCCTTCGAAATAGTTTAGAAAAATTTTTGTAAGAAATCATGCCGACCTTAAAATTTTGAAAAAGAAAACTCTGTTTTTCTACCTTTTCCTCCTACTGTTTCCTCACAACTCTTGCTGACAAATAAAGTTTGAAAACGGTTGATTTGTCTCTCAGTCGGCCAGAACCTTGAAGGCCACACCAATTGACGTTCCAAGGCTTCACAAAATATACCTGTTTTCGTAAGAGAAAAGAGGCAGGAGAAGAAGAAGAAACGTGTGTGTACGATGAAGGGGACAACAATGGACCTTTTTCTTCACTTTTTTCTTTTTCTGTTCGACATTTACCTACTTGGTTCTACGCGTACAATTCCTAGGTGTTCTTTATATTTTTAGATTGAAGTTCATAAAATCCTATTATTTTTCAAAATTAAATCTGGTTGAAAATCCACTTCATTCTGTGTATCTAAATCCACAGAATTCTATTATTCTCCCTAAAATAAATCAAGCTCTCTCGTTTTTCAGTTCAAAATTCACGACTAGGTTCTGGCGCGCTTCAGCGTGAGTTAACATGGAAGAAAAGTTGCTCCAAGTCGGGCGCAGTTTTAGGATGACTAAAATTGGCTTTTCAACCACTAAATCGCCCATGAAAAACCGAGAAAAAAATTCGAATACAAATTCTCCTTGTTCTCCAGATAGAAAATACATGAAATTACCCCATTTTTCTCGAAATAAATTCGGATACAAAATCATTTTCCCACTCCTACTCGTCTAGTCCCCCACACACCTACAACTTCGTCACACCTTTTTCTCTCGATTTTGTTGCGAAAATTCATTCATTCGACTTCTGTCTGCCGTTTCACTCGTTCCTTTTATTTTTGAAACTTAAATTTAGAGTTCATAACCTTATGTTTTGGAAAAAGAAAGTTTTCGCTCTGAGAAGGAAAATTCTTTGATTTTTTTTTTGTTCCTAAAGAATGGACGGCATATATTTTGAAAAATATATTTTGCTCTTTTTTCATTTTGCTTCCAATTTTTCAAGTTCCAATCAAGAAAAAAAGGTTTTCTTTTGTGAAAATTGTGAAAAATTATTAGAAATTAATCAGCTAAAAACCGCGCCGCAACCGCGACGCATCGGTATTTTTCCGAAGGTTGATCCAATTTTTTTCCAGTTTTATACCCCATTCTTTCCTTTTTCTGAAGAATTGTATCACAAAAACATCATTATTCTTTCCCCTTCGATTCTCAGAATCTCTGCCAAAGCTTTGCTAAAACTTTATAGTTTACAAGAAAACAAGGAGTTTGCACAACTTTGGATGAATCAGAGAAAAAGTGACTGGATGATTTGTTTCCGGTCATGATATCCAGGAAGTTTTTTCCCCTATTCTTCCTCGTCCCAGTTCTATGCATTTGTCGAATGATGGTGATACGCCGAAAACAATGGCTTCTTCCATTTATTCCTATTCAGATGATTCTACGGTTTCAGTCTAGTCTAGTTCCCTTTTTTGAATCATTTCAGTTGTGAGCAGTTATTTCGCGGCTTACCGGCTTTTGAAGTCCTTCTGGGATAAAATTAGGAAATTTTTATTTTCATAAAAATCCTCTTTCACTTTCCTACTTTGAACCGGCAGTATAAGATACGTACTTTTTCGAGGACTCCAAAATTTTTCAGGCAATTTTGAATAGGAAGAACTTTTTTTCAAAGAAAAATGGATTTTCCTTTTTTCAGAATGGACCAAGGCCATAAATGCCTGTTCTTTTCGAAAAAAATCACCCCTTTTTGCGATTTTTTTCCTATTTTTTTAAAATTCTAAAGCCTTATTTATGCAATTTGACAGGTGAATATCCTCAGAATACTAATAGGAAATTTGATAAATGGTTTTGTTATTGGCTTCTCAATTCATTAAGAAACCAGTTTATTCGACACGCGTCCATTACTAGCTAATCTTCACTTTTTCTCATTTTCTCCTTTTTTTTCTGCTTTTCAAGCTTCCAAAAACTTTCAAAACCATCCTTGGTTTTGAGACCCTCAAAAGAAAAATCCTAAGGACTCTAATGTGTTTTTACATTTTTTTCCCATTCTTGCTTATTAAATATCTATCTTTCTCTCTCTGACGCAAATCATTTAATTAAGGCTTCGGGAGACTCCATTAAACGTCCAGATAAATAATAGCTTCGTTGAAAGTCGTCATTAAGTGAGGAAGCATTCATTACCAGCTAATCTTTAATTTTCTTCCACTGGAGTTTTTTACTTTTTATTGGGTTTTTTGACGGTAATGGTGTTATTTTTAGATGAATAATTTTTTGCAACTGTTTGCAGAAATTTATTGTTATAAACGTGATGATTATTATTCATAAAGCCTGTATTTAAGGACGAATTTTCGCGTCAACTGCATGATAATCATCACTTTCTTATTTTAGAACAGGAAAAGTTTCAAGGAATGATTATAATGGGAAAGCTTGCATTAAAAGACGAAGGAACACGTAAGTTATGAGATAATTTTCACTTGAAAACTGCATTTTATTTTCTTTTTTACTTGGATTCTCAACTCTGCCTATAATGCTATGTTAATATTCAGTTTCACCAGCTTGAATTTCATGAGCTCTATTTTAACTTTCAATATCAATTTCAGTCGGGAAGCTCTTTTTCTTTTCTTTTCATCCATTTTCGGGGGTTTTTACCATATTTTGAAAATTTCTCACCATTTTCCTGCTTTTTTTCTTGTCATCGTACTTTTTTTATCTTTGAAATAGCCCTTTTTCTAAAGACCTGAAGAGTTTTACATCAAAATTTTACTTTTTAAAAGTTTCCATAGCATTTTCTTTGAAGCTTCACAAGACCCAGAGGACGTGCGATAAACAATTTTGTTGTTGACCACCCATCATTAAGAGCCCCCGGCTAACGCATTCATTACCAGCTAATCTTCACTTCCTTTTTTTCGTGTTCCACCCTTGTTTTTTTTGTTTTTTCCGAGTAGTTTGGGCTCCTTCGGAACATCATTATCCTATTCATAAATTTTATTTATTTTTTTGTAACCAGCGAAATTTTTCGATTATGAGTAAAAAAATCAATCACTAATGGACCCTGAAGGTTTTCAAGTGAGAACTATAGTATTTTACTAAGGTTTTCCAACATGGAATACTCACCAGGGAATGTTCTTTGGACGCAGTGGAACTTCTGAATGAGACTTCTGTAACCAGAGAAACCTTCAAAAATAAGCTCAATCTAAGACATTGAAATTTCTGACTTTCAGAGTCCATAATTTTTTCCACAGACGTATTGGACAACTTTTAAGATCAGATTTGAAATTACCGTGAAAAACTACATTTAGGAAAGCTGGTCTCATTCAGAAGTCCCACTGCGTCCAACGACCGTTCCCTTGTCAGTTTAACTACTCAGTCAAAAAAAAAACCTTTTTTTCAATGCACCTTTATTATTTCAACCGCCGTTTCGAACTTTTTTGTCAATTTCCGTCTTCCAATTTCATTCAAACACAGTTCGTTCTCTAAAGCTCATTCCCATCATTTCGTATTTTTTCATTTCATGTACCTTTTTCAACTTTTCCGTTGTTTTCCCTGAAAAATAAGCTTTCAGTAGACAAATGACATTCTGCCGAACGGTTGGCGACGCTTCCCCGGCGGCACCGTCGATCCCGACGATGCAGAACAGCGGCACGGCCATGGCCGTCCGAATCATCGGCGGCAGTTTCCTGTCCTTATCCATCGTGTCCAGCGTGATCGCCTGCGCCCTATGGAACACCGAAAATCATTCCCTCACCAATAATATCACCTATTATTGTGAGTTTTCTTAGAAATGATTTTGGAGTGAGAAAGTGGTCGAGACCAAAAAAAGCAAAAAAAAATCTGAAGTCATAATTTTAAAGCCTACTCTAGTGGTGTAAGCTTTTGAGGATGCTAAAAGCAGATAGATTGTCTAGTTATTAACAAAAATATCTCAATTAAGGTATTCTTGAGTAATGAAACGAAGCTTGGGGGTCAATGGATCAACATAACTGGTCCAATATGTTTGTTTCAAATTTATCAGAGTTACTGGGAGGAATACTGGATGAAAAACTACTTGAGTGGCCACTATAGAGATGGGTTTAGTGGCCAATTCAGTGTCCTCTCCAAATAGTCCTTGGCGAGCCTCTATAGTGGCCACTAAAATTTTTCCCAGATCCGCAAACTGAAAAAAGTTTCAGTGAATCTACTTGAAAAATAGGAAGATGAAAGTAATCATTTTAATGAAGTGATTCGAATCAACTAACCATTGGAAAATGAAACCTCTTGAGTGGCTTTCAAACAAATTTTCAATGGTTTAATTTTTCCAGGCGGCCTCTCCCTCGCCCAATTATTGAACGTGGCTATCGTCTACTTGATGATTCGAGGGATTTCACTACAAAAGCCTCATTATTTCCAGCCTTTCATCATTTGCGCTCTGTTCCATTTGGTTATTTGGTGAGCTACTGTTTCTTATTACAGAGTAGGGAACACTTGAGGGTTAGAGAAGGAGACGCTGAAATTTCCACCTAATCACCTCAAAAATGGTCATTTTGCAGCCTCCTACTCTCGGCGATCTTCTTCCTCTACGTCGTGACGCGGGCGACCTTCTATTCGCCGAGCAGCGACGTCGTCTTCTTCCTCGTGTTCGCCATGCTGAGCATGTTCTGGTCGATGGCGATCAGCGTCGTCCGCGAGTACCGCGACTTTGTACGTGAGATTTCGTTCGCGCACGCACCGCTCGTCGACCAAGAGCACTTCGTTTAGAGGCTCCCCTTTAGATTTTTCATCGTTTTCTTCCTTCTTTCCTTCTTTCTCCCATCACTTCTGACATTAAAGTGTTCATAGGGGACACTTAAGGGCTAGAGAAATACAAAAAAAATTCGAAGTCCTCACTTCGGAGGCTCTCAATTTTGAGAAGAAATAGAATGACTTTTCAAGAAACTTCCTAACGATCAAGTAGCCCTTGAAGTCGTCAACTGTTTTTCAGAAGCCATATTTAAAAAAAAGTGAAGGAAAATTCGGAGTAGTCTCTTAAGTAGCTATATTCCTTTTTTTGGAGAAAATCAATCTTGAACTTGAAAAATAAAAATTTTCTTAGTTTTTCAGAAGTTATGAGAGAAAGAATGAACTTGGTGTGATGTTTGCACTTCAATTTGCCAGAATCCAAAGTTTTAGAATAGTTCATTCACCGTATAGTCGATCAGAAATCCCACCATTTTAGCACAGAGTTCATAAAAAAACGGTTAATGAACTAATTTTTTCCTATAATAAAAGCCCATTCTTTGCGGGTGTTTAAGAGTCTTTCGATTTCAATTTTTTTCTTTGAAGAATATCAATCTTTCTTCTTTTTATAGTTCACCGTTTGTATTGTTCGTCGTTTGCACTTTTGCATTTTCCCGATTTCTCAAAAGTACTTTTTACTAACGAAAGTCATTTATGCAGATAATATATGACGACTTTTTCCTCGACCTGGCTCATGTATAAACCGCTTACTAATATAACGGCCGTCAACACACATATTTTTCGACTACGATTTTAAGAGCGAAATTCCTTTTCTCCTACGGGTTCAGTTTGTATTATATTTGTATCTGTTTATTTTGTGATTTTCTACGGATAAATTGTTCAGTTTTTGATAGCAATTGCAAGAAGAGTATCTAACTTTCAATGGGAAAAGTTTTTTTCTAGTCAAGTGTTTGGATGTTGGTTTCTATCAGCTATATAACAAATTTCACATCTTATCACCCTGAAACTATCATTTGATAATTTCTGATAATAATCAATGATGATGATGATGATGATGTCAAACAAATAGTGACATCAAAAAATGATAACAGAACGATTTTCCTTCGTTTTAAATTCCACAAAAGATGAAATAATTTATTAAAGCAATGAAATACTCCGGATTTGGTGGATATTTGTGGTCCTTAAGAGGACCGTTGGGTTCGGTGCTTGCTCACGACTCCGAAGAGAAGTCGATTACTTGCTGGAGGTGTACTTGGTTACAGCCTTGGTGCCTTCGGAGACGGCGTGTTTGGCGAGTTCTCCAGGCAGGATGAGTCGGACGGCGGTCTGGATTTCGCGAGAAGAGATCGTCGATCTCTTGTTGTACTGGGCCAGACGCGACGCCTCGGCTCCGATCCGCTCGAAGACGTCGTTGACGAACGAGTTCATGATCGACATGGCCTTGGAGGAGACTCCGGTGTCGGGGTGAACCTGCAGAAGTGGACTTTTAGAAAGAGAACACTTTTGAGTTGGAGGAAGATGAGAAACAAGGGGTTACCTGCTTGAGGACACGGTAGATGTAGACGGAGTAGGACTCCTTGCGCTTGTGATGGCGCTTCTTGGTTCCGGTGGAGACCTTCTGGGTCTTGGCGGCCTTCTTGGCTCCCTTGGCGGACGGCTTGGGTGGCATGGCGATGAACTGGCTGTTGAGCAAGTGATGGCGGAAGGTCGTCGCCGCACGCTTTTTATAGCGCGCCTCGGCTGACCACGCCTTCTTGACCACGCCTCCCGCCGCGATGACCTATAAATGCGGAAAACGCGTCGGACGGCCTTATCGAGAGTTTCTCGCAGTTTTCAAGCATCATGTCTGGACGTGGAAAAGGAGGCAAAGCCAAGACCGGCGGAAAGGCCAAGTCGCGCTCTTCGAGAGCCGGACTCCAGTTCCCGGTCGGTCGTCTGCACCGTCTTCTCCGCAAGGGCAACTACGCTCAGCGCGTCGGAGCCGGAGCACCGGTGAGTCTTCGTTCCTCTCCTTCTGACTTTCCTTTCCGAGTTCTCTTTCTCATGTTCACTTCTGCAGGTCTACCTGGCCGCTGTCCTCGAGTACCTGGCCGCCGAAGTCCTTGAATTGGCCGGCAACGCCGCTCGCGACAACAAGAAGACTCGCATCAACCCCCGGCATCTGCAGCTCGCCGTCCGCAACGACGAGGAGCTGAACAAGCTGCTCAGCGGCGTCACCATCGCCCAGGGAGGAGTCCTGCCCAACATCCAGGCCAGCCTTCTGCCCAAGAAGACTGCCGGCGACAAGGAATAAGATTTCTTTTTCCGACTCACCGTCACCGAACCCAACGGCCCTCTTTTAGGGCCACAATACTGGTCTCCCAAGTCCCTGTTATTATTATTTGAATAAAGTGTTTTTTTTTTGTCTGTGCTTTTGATGTAGGTGGGAAAAAAGACTTGCCATCCAATCCAATGGAAATTGCGAATGCAAAGTTTAACTTTAAAATTAATTGGTTTCTCAAGAATTGGCAACAGAACGACGTTTGACATTCATTTTTATTATCAAAAACGGTTGAAACGTACTTGAATTCCGAAAAATTATCAACTTTTCCGTCAGAAATTCTTTGGATAGGTTCCTAAAGACACTGTGTGAAATCTGACACGGAGACTACTGCGATTTTTATCATGAATCTTCCAACCCAATTAGGCTTTATGTACTTTTGTGGAATTAATAGAAAGAAAATCAGTTATGAAGACTGTCTGAAGTTGAAATAAAAGAAAAATAAATTTTAGTTGAAACCTCGCTTTTTCCTTCACGGTTTCAACAAGCCAGATGAAATCAGTCACTATCTGCCAGAATTTCCACGAATTTATTGATTTTTGTTGTGAGTCTGAAATTGTCTGTTCTCTCCACGAACTCACTGTCTCTCAATTACGCGCCAAAAAGTGACCCAAATCGGAATTTTGGCGCGCGGCGAGAGAAAAATGACGCCATGAGATGCAGGTGGTTAGAAAAGGTGCACATTCTCTCCCAAAAACATTTTTTGAGTCAAAAATTTTGTTCAAAATTAAAGAAGAAAAATTCGAATGGCAGACTTGCCTATCAAGTTCTCAGTAAGTCTGAACTCTGAAAATTACAATTCAAAAAAAAAAATGTCATTGAATTGCAGAGTAGGTAGTATGGGCTAACTATCGTAGTCATATATATGAACTTACCATCAAGTTTCAAATGGTTTTTGCTATGATTTTCTTAAAATTCAAGTCTGTTCCTTTTCAAATCGAATAAAACTTGATAATGCGTCTTAGAATGACCTTCGTGGAGTTGTGACGCGAAGCAACGAAGGCGCCTAGCTGCTTCCAAGCAAAAGCTAGGCTTTTTTCGACCTTTTGAAAATAGTTTTTACTGACCAAGTGATACTAAACTACATATATTCAATCGGTCAATCGGCGTATTGACAAAAATGATTTCACCGGGACTTTTTGAAACATAATACCAAAAGTTCTCCAATCTGCTTTTTCGGTATCCTCGAAACTTTCTGAGGTGGCCTTCATTTATGGAATTCCCTGAGAGACTATAATATTTAATTGTATTGTTCTGCTTCATCATGCTTTCTTTTAAAAAAAAACGAACAAGTAAATTATGAGACAAGAAAATACTTTATTCACAAAGAAGAAAATGGATTCGGAAAGGATTGTGGCCCTAATGAGGGCCGTTGGGTTCGGTTGAAGACTCGGTCAGGCTTCTACTCCTTCAGATAGGGAGCTTAAGCTCGCTCTCCTCGGATGCGTCGGGCCAGCTGGATGTCCTTGGGCATGATGGTGACGCGTTTGGCGTGGATGGCGCACAAGTTGGTGTCTTCGAAGAGACCAACGAGGTAGGCCTCGGCAGCCTCCTGCAGGGCCATCACGGCCGAAGACTGGAACCGCAGGTCGGTCTTGAAGTCCTGAGCGATCTCGCGGACCAGACGCTGGAACGGAAGCTTGCGGATGAGAAGTTCCGTCGACTTTTGGTAACGACGGATCTCTCGGAGGGCGACGGTTCCTGGACGGTAGCGATGGGGCTTCTTGACTCCTCCGGTGGCCGGAGCAGACTTGCGAGCCGCCTTCGTGGCGAGCTGCTTGCGGGGAGCCTTGCCTCCGGTGGACTTGCGAGCGGTTTGCTTGGTACGAGCCATGACGATTGAGAGTTACCTCGGTGACTGGAACATCTACCGGCCGGCCTTTTATACGGTCCTGCGAGGCGGGAGGCGTGGCTTCGCAGACCTCGATAAGGGCGCGCGGAGTCCCCGCGTGGTGGCGCCGCCTTCTGGGAGTATAAAAGCCGGCGACGCCTTCAGACGGCATCACATTCGTGTGTCAAGCTCATCTGAATCATGTCTGGCCGTGGCAAGGGAGGAAAAGGACTCGGAAAGGGAGGCGCCAAGCGCCATCGCAAAGTCCTTCGCGACAACATCCAAGGCATCACCAAGGTTTGTTCTTCTTCTTCTTTCTCTCGAAGTCTTCTGACCATTTCCAATACTTTCACAATCATCCTTAACGTCTTCTAATCGAATCCATTTTCAGCCGGCTATCCGCCGTCTGGCCCGCCGTGGTGGAGTCAAGCGCATCTCCGGACTCATCTACGAGGAGACCCGAGGAGTCCTGAAGGTCTTCCTTGAGAACGTCATCCGAGACGCCGTCACCTACTGCGAGCACGCCAAGCGGAAGACCGTCACCGCCATGGACGTCGTCTACGCCCTCAAGCGTCAAGGACGCACTCTCTACGGCTTCGGCGGATAAGTCGAGCTTCTGGAGAACATCCGAACGCACAAACCGAACCCAACGGCCCTCTTTAGGGCCACAATCCTTTCAACGAATCCATTTTGTTGTGAATAAAGCATTGGTTGTCAATAATAAAGAGGAAATTACAAGAAAAAGGTGCATTTGAAGCAGAAAAAATTAATTAATTCGGTGATTCAATTTCTCTCGTGCTTTTATTCTTTACAAATCAAATTATTTCTTATTTTTCATCTGTCAGCTTGTCCGTGACAGATTTTTATCAAGCCACTCGAATAAGAAAATAAATGAAAAAGTTATAGAAAAAGTAATTCTGATAATCTTCATAGCTTCCACCATTGGAGTACGCCTGCGATTAGTCTGAAAAAAATTTCCGAAACCGTCTCCTATTCGATTTTCTTTCTTTCTACGGTCTATCCATATTTAAAAGGCTTTTTTTGCCTTATCATCTTTTTCAAATCGGCTATTTTTTTACGGAAAAATTATATCTTCTATTATTCGAAGTTGAAATTTTTTTGGAAAAATGAATTACTTTCAATAGTTCATTTTGAAATCCTCTTCGAATATAGCACTGTATATTTGAATATTCTTTTTTTCAATTCACGAAAATATCAAAATTTTTGTCCCGGTGCCAGAACAAAAGCATATACTAACCGTCTGCGTTATCTAGGCGTCTTTTTTCTCTCTTTGCGCGCCAAATTTCCGATTGGGGTCACTTTTTGGCGCCCAATCAAAAAGAGATAGTGCACTTGTAGCGGGAACAGAAATACAGAAACTCATATAGCTAAAAGGCTTTATGAGAAAAAAAAGACTGAGGAAAAAGAGCTCAAAACATAAGAAGTTGACATGAATTCACATAAAATTTATTGGTTTAAAAAGAAGTCGATATTCAAATATCAAACTTGGAAAATCTCAAGTTGGATAGAAAAATAAGTCAGGCTCCAAAGAAACAACGATGAAAATTTTGCTGAGGTTAGCGCAAAAAAGACAACTTTTTGATTAAAATTTTCGAATTTCATAAACTTTCCCCAGAGCTCAATTTTAATCGGTGTCGAAAGACGAAAAATAAAGATTCAAAACGGGAATTTTCAAAGAGCCATCAATTTTTTAGAACTTGGAATTAAGATCTCTCAAAAAAGGAAGCTTTTGCAAAATCCCAATAAGACCGTTTGACATCAAACTAAAGGTCAAAAAAGGAACTTGATTTCTGAAAAAAGGATCATTTTCCAAGTTGTCCATTTTATAAATTCCTAAAACTCTTATATATTTTCAACTACCATTCGATAATTTTCTGGAGCTTCGCAATGAACAATACAGTAATATGAATAAGTTTAAAAAAAAAACATATTTGAAAAAAGGGCAAGATTTTGGACTAAATTACCATTTTCAAGGGTTTTCGAAGCATTTCGAGCGGTTCACTTGAATCTATGCTTTTGGAGAAAGAAAACGTATCAAAAAATTTTGGCGAGGTTAAAAGTCGAAAATGGGTTCGACGAGAAAAATCGCCGCGATTCAGACTACGATCTTCCTTGCTATTTTTCCTCATTTCCAATTTTTTTCGCACAAAAATACAAACCTTAAAAAAATTAAAATTATTAGAAGCTTTATAATATGAAGAATGATTAGCAGTGTATTCCGGACGATGAAAGGAAAAAAATGAACTGAAAAACAGAGAGAACTCGGCTAACTGTGATTGTATCACCCAACTAATAGAACTCCTCCACGGACAATAATTTCAAACATTTTATTGAAGCTTCTGAATTCAAAACGGATCTTTTGTACATTTGTGGCCCTAATGAGGGCCGTTGGGTTCGGTGACGGTGGGTCGGAAGAAGAAATCTTATTCCTTGTCGCCGGCAGTCTTCTTGGGCAGAAGGCTGGCCTGGATGTTGGGCAGGACTCCTCCCTGGGCGATGGTGACGCCGCTGAGCAGCTTGTTCAGCTCCTCGTCGTTGCGGACGGCGAGCTGCAGATGCCGGGGGTTGATGCGAGTCTTCTTGTTGTCGCGAGCGGCGTTGCCGGCCAATTCAAGGACTTCGGCGGCCAGGTACTCGAGGACAGCGGCCAGGTAGACCTGCAGAAGTGAACATGAGAAAGAGAACTCGGAAAGGAAAGTCAGAAGGAGAGGAACGAAGACTCACCGGTGCTCCGGCTCCGACGCGCTGAGCGTAGTTGCCCTTGCGGAGAAGACGGTGCAGACGACCGACCGGGAACTGGAGTCCGGCTCTCGAAGAGCGCGACTTGGCCTTTCCGCCGGTCTTGGCTTTGCCTCCTTTTCCACGTCCAGACATGATGCTTGAAAACTGCGAGAAACTCTCGATAAGGCCGTCCGACGCGTTTTCCGCATTTATAGGTCATCGCGGCGGGAGGCGTGGTCAAGAAGGCGTGGTCAGCCGAGGCGCGCTATAAAACCGTGCGGCGACGACCTTCCGCCATCACTTGCTCAACAGCCAGTTCATCGCCATGCCACCCAAGCCGTCCGCCAAGGGAGCCAAGAAGGCCGCCAAGACCCAGAAGGTCTCCACCGGAACCAAGAAGCGCCATCACAAGCGCAAGGAGTCCTACTCCGTCTACATCTACCGTGTCCTCAAGCAGGTAACCACTTGTTTCTCATCTTCCTTGAACTTAAAAGTGATCTCATCCTAAATGTCCTCTTCTACAGGTTCACCCCGACACCGGAGTCTCCTCCAAGGCCATGTCGATCATGAACTCGTTCGTCAACGACGTCTTCGAGCGGATCGGAGCCGAGGCGTCGCGTCTGGCCCAGTACAACAAGAGATCGACGATCTCTTCTCGCGAAATCCAGACCGCCGTCCGACTCATCCTGCCTGGAGAACTCGCCAAACACGCCGTCTCCGAAGGCACCAAGGCCGTCACCAAGTACACCTCCAGCAAGTAAACGGCTTCTCTTCGGAGTCGTGAGCAAGCACCGAACCCAACGGCCCTCTTAAGGGCCACAATCTTTCAACGAATCCAAATACAAAGCTTTAATAAATAAATTATTTGAAACCACGTGTATTTTCGCAAAGTGAAACCGGTTCGCTCAGCTGAGAGAGCGCGCAAAGCACAAACCATAAATATTTCGAGCTGTCTCTGTTTGTTCACTCTTTTATCGTGCAACGTGCCTCTCTACACATGTTGCTATTGATTTTCTCTATTTCAAAAATTCCTTCCCACCACTTTCCCTTAAAAATACTCTTCCGGCAGTAACAAGTATTTTTTTTTCTAGAATTGTGTATTCAGTTCGACAAATGGGACCCGAAGAAAATAGCGAGGACGATCCTTGTTTAATTTGCGGCGAGCCTTCTCGTGGAATTCATTTTGGAGTTCAATCTTGTCGCGCCTGTCCAGCCTTTTTCAGGTCTCAAAATATCTATTTTCTTTCACCTGCTCAAATTTCCGTTTTAAGACGAAGTGTAGTCAACAATAAAAAATATTCCTGTCGTCTAGGAAACGATAACTGCCCGGTCGACAAAGGTGACAGGTTTTTTCATCTTTTAATAAAATTTCGAGCGCTACTTCAAGATATTCCTGTCGATTATGCCGTTACAACAAATGTGTTCGCCTTGGAATGACCACTGACAGTTAGAAATTTATAGTGAAGTGTTCGAACTTTTTTTTTTGTAACTCAGATGTTCAATACAGTCGCGATCTATTTTCATTCGGGAATGGGTTAAAGAAAAAACGGTCGTCGAAAAAGTCGAATAATATGGAGAGCGCTGAAGATGATGATGACGATATTATGATTATTGAAGTAAGAAAAAGAAATTGAAGTTTTTTAAATCTGAACTAAATCATAGCCAGAGGAAGACCCAACTTCTTCAAAAATCACATCTTCAACATCTATAAAAAATGAAGAATTAGCTGTGGGTTTATTATTTTCATTTCCAGCTTATTACTCTAATTTCCAGTTGAATTTTCTGCCAGCAGGAGCTGTTAAAATGAAACAATTTGATCTTTCGGGACTTGTCACGATTGTCGAGAACGTTTTCAGTCAGGTTTGAGATTATTTCAAGACTTGAAAATTCATAGCATTTCTCATATTTGTTATCGAAATGGTATTATTTAGTTCGTCCCTCCTTTCCACGAAGAAAGCTATCGAAAAATGAACAAACTTCAAAGAATGGAATATGCCTTAGCTGTACATCGTTGTGATCAGAAAAAAGAGGATATTCAGGTTAAAATTTCAAAAAAAATTTCCCTAAATTTTTTAAAGATGATAGATAACGTGAACATGGAATGGATTTGTAAAAAAACACCGAACCGTCTAATGAAAATTGCGTCTTGGATGATGCATATGGAAGAATTTCGAGAGATTGAACAAGATGAACAGGTAATAAAAGAAACTTGCAAAAAAAAATTTTAAAAAAATTTTCAGTTTTTAATTTTCAAGGCAGTTTGGACATTATGGGAGCCGTTTGAAACTGTGGCAACATCTTTGGATGTGTTTGGAGAACGTGTTTTGACAGAGCAGGTATAATTTCATGCTTCGAGCAGCAAGAAAAAAACCGTTAATCTCCTTATAATACAAAAATTGATTCTGAGGAAACGTGATATAAAAACGTTCCGACCTTTTTTGGAGGTGAGCTCGATCGAGCTTCTGTGATGAATTGTTTCTTGTCGTCCTGATCATTTCGTACTCAGTGCTCGAAAAGAAAATCTGCAAACTTCCCGAAATCCTTTAAAGCGTTTAGTTATTGGATAAATAATTTATTTTTTATGAGAAAAACGTACCAAAATAATTTCAAGGAGCTTAAAACAAGCGTGGCAGACTCAGAAAGGCCTTCTTCAAGCTGGAATACACAAAAAAAAAAGAAATGAAAAATTGAATGAATCACTAAGAATAACTGCCGAGATAAACGCGAGACACTGGCGGTACATTGACGAGCTCGCAAACATCTCGCTTTTTTTCTCGCGCCGGTTTCGCATTAGTCTGGGCGCGAGCTCGCATTTTTCTAGGCGCGAGCTCGCATTTCTCTCGCAATTTGAAAATTTCCGAAATGCAAGATAAATGCGAGATGGCGCCGAGAAAAATGCGAGGTCGCGCCGAGATAAATGCGGGATCGCGCCTAGAAAAAAGCGACATTTTTGCGAGTTAGTCAATGTACCGCCACCGAGCTCGCGTTTATCTCGTCAGTTATTCTTAGTGATTTTATAAAATTAGACTAAATAGCGAATGCGTCACTGTGCTGCACTATGTTGACTGTGACGCGCAAAAATAAATATCACTCACTCGATTATTCGGGCTTTCTATCTTCTTTTAAAGTTTTAAACGTTTATTCATATTTACTTTTTTGTGGTTCGATTGTTTTTGTTTTGTTAATAGTGAAGGAAAGTCAAACACTGCGTCGTTTCTTTTATAATTTATAGGTGATGAAGTTAGCAATTATCACAATTTCATATGTTTTCAGCTTTTCGTGATTAGCAGCGAATTTGCGATTCAGTACAAGAAGGCTTGGCTCGATTTAAGCTCAATAACCGACTATCCGTCTGAACCGATTTTCAAGTTAGTTTTATTCTTCATTTTCTGAATTCCCTTATTAAAAATATCTTTTAGAATGTTTGAACCATTCATCCGACGAATAATCGATGATGTTGCCAGAAAACTGTATGAAATGAAGGTCTCGAAAATTGAAGAGGCGTATATGTTATGCCAGTTGGCCTGGCACCTTTCCGGTAGTTTATGGTAAATCCTTTTGTTGAAAACCGTTTTTCAGGAAAAGAATTGAAAAGGTCAACAATCGACGCCGGGGACCGTTTTCTGGAAGAAATCGCCAACGATCTTCATGAATACTACATGGACATCAATTTGGGACATTATGCGGCAAGGCTGATACAGTTGATGAACATTGTCAACGACTGGAAGGTTCAAAAAAATACTAAAACAATGGAAAACTCTTTTTTTTTTAAAGAAAATCTTCATGGATCGGCAGAAAGTGTTGGAATTAGCCAAGTTGTTCGACGTTTTCAACGTTGTTCCTTCGGAGCCTGACTTATTGTTCTATCCAAGTTGAGATTTTTTAAATTTCAGGTTTGAATAAAGTTTTTATCGACTTTTTTTGGGGAACCGATGAATTTAATTTTAATCCACGTCAACTTCATGTTTTGAGCTATTTTGTCTCAGTCTTTTTTTTTCTCATAAAGCCTTTTAGCTTTATGAGTTTCTGTATTTCCGTTCCCGCTACAAGTGCACTATCTCTGTCAGATTGGGCGCCAAAAAGTGACCCCAATCGGAAATTTGGCGCGCAAAGAGAGAAAAAAGACGCCTAGATAACGCAGACGGTTAGTATATGCTTTTGTTCTGGCCTGGGTCAAAAATTCTGATGTTTTCGTAATTTGAAAGAAGGAATATTGAAATATACAAAGCGTTATTAAAGAGAATTTCTTTTCAAAGAGAATGTAATTAAATTGAATTTCAAAATGAACTATTCTCAGTGATTCATCTTTTAAAAATTTTCAACTTCGAATAATAGAAGATATCAATTTGCGTAAAAAATAGCCGATTTGAAAAGATGATAAGGCAAAGAATAGGTCTTCAAATATGGCTAGACTGTAGAATAAAAGAAAAGCGAGTATAGCCTATTCCGCGCCAGGTTGTCACGTTTTTCTTTCTGCCAAAAAGGCAGGTCAAATTTAACCAATTTTCGCTTCAAGACCTTTGTTTCTTGCCGTTATAAAAGCAGAAATTTGATCTAATTTGGTATACGGTCTTCTACAAATTTCTCTTCAGCTAGCGCGGAATGGCCTATAAGAGACGATTTCGAAAATTTTGCGGAAAATTCTTCAGACTTATCGAAAATTATTTAGTTGAGCATTTCATTGGATACTATGAAAATTCTAATTATTGTTAAGCAGATATGAATGTTCTTTCTCTGCAATTAAATTTTCTATTCAATTTTTTCGTGGAGCTCGACAGTCTAAGTTGAGGAGTAGCTGAAGAGAAATTTGTAGAAGCTATGTTTTTGTTTCAGAAATAACTAGGAGAGCCTTTTATCTATAGATTTAATGTTTTCTGCTTCAAATGCACTTTTTCTTGTAATTTCCTCTTTATTATTGACACCCAATGCTTTATTCACAACTTAATGGATTCATTGAAAGGATTGTGGCCCTAAAGAGGGCCGTTGGGTTCGGTTTGTGCGTTTGGAAGTTCTCCTCAAGCTCGACTTATCCGCCGAAGCCGTAGAGAGTGCGTCCTTGACGCTTGAGGGCGTAGACGACGTCCATGGCGGTGACGGTCTTCCGCTTGGCGTGCTCGCAGTAGGTGACGGCGTCTCGGATGACGTTCTCAAGGAAGACCTTCAGGACTCCTCGGGTCTCCTCGTAGATGAGTCCGGAGATGCGCTTGACTCCACCACGGCGGGCCAGACGGCGGATAGCCGGCTGAAAATGGATTCGATTAGAAGACGTTAAGGATGATTGTGAAAGTATTGGAAATGGTCAGAAGACTTCGAGAGAAAGAAGAAGAAGAACAAACCTTGGTGATGCCTTGGATGTTGTCGCGAAGGACTTTGCGATGGCGCTTGGCGCCTCCCTTTCCGAGTCCTTTTCCTCCCTTGCCACGGCCAGACATGATTCAGATGAGCTTGACACACGAATGTGATGCCGTCTGAAGACGTCGCCGGCTTTTATACTCCCAGAAGGCGGCGCCACCACGCGGGGACTCCGCGCGCCCTTATCGAGGTCTGCGAAGCCACGCCCCCGCCTCGCAGGACCGTATAAAAGGCTGGCCGGTAGATGTTCCGGTCACCGAGGTAACTCTCAATCGTCATGGCTCGTACCAAGCAAACCGCTCGCAAGTCCACCGGAGGCAAGGCTCCCCGCAAGCAGCTCGCCACGAAGGCGGCTCGCAAGTCTGCTCCGGCCACCGGAGGAGTCAAGAAGCCCCATCGCTACCGTCCAGGAACCGTCGCCCTCCGAGAGATCCGTCGTTACCAAAAGTCGACGGAACTTCTCATCCGCAAGCTTCCGTTCCAGCGTCTGGTCCGCGAGATCGCTCAGGACTTCAAGACCGACCTGCGGTTCCAGTCTTCGGCCGTGATGGCCCTGCAGGAGGCTGCCGAGGCCTACCTCGTTGGTCTCTTCGAAGACACCAACTTGTGCGCCATCCACGCCAAACGCGTCACCATCATGCCCAAGGACATCCAGCTGGCCCGACGCATTCGAGGAGAGCGAGCTTAAGCTCCCTATCTGAAGGAGTAGAAGCCTGACCGAGTCTTCAACCGAACCCAACGGCCCTCATTAGGGCCACAATCCTTTCCAAAATCCATTTTCTTCTTTGTGAATAAAGTATTTCCTGTCTTATAATTTACTTGTTGTTTTTTGTCTTGAAAAAAAAATGATGAAGAAAAATAGTCAAGTTCAATTTCATCGTCTCTGAGGGAATTCCATGATTGAAGGCTACCTCAGAAAGCTTTAAAGGAAACGAAAAAGCAGATGGAAGAACTATTGGTTGTATGTTTCAAAAAGTCCCGGTGAAATCCATTTGGTGGATAAGCCGATTGATCATATATATGTAGTTTAGTATCACTTGGTCAGTATAAACTATATTCTCAAAAATAGTTTCAAAGCTCAAAAAAACCCTAGTTTTTGCTTCCGCGTCGCGTCAAAACTCCCAGAAGGTCATTTTAAGACCTGTTATCAAATTCAATTCGATTTGAAAAAGAACAGACATGAAATTTCAAGAAGTCAGCAAAAACCATTTGAAACTTGATGGTAAGTTCATATATATGACTACTATAGATAGACCATATTACCTACTCTGCAATTCAACGACATTTTTTTTTTTGAATTGTAATTTTCAGAGTTCAGACTTACTGAAAAATTCCTAGGCAAGTCTGCAATCCGACTTTTTCTTCTTTAATTTTGAACAAAATTTTCGACTCATAAAATTTTTTTGGGAGAGAATGTGCACCTTTTCTAACGACCTGCGTCTCACGGCGTCATTTTTCTCTCGCCGCGCGCCAAAATTCCGATTTGGGTCACTTTTTGGCGCGTAATTGAGAGACAGTGAGTTCGTGGAGAGAACAGACAATTTCAGACTCACAACAAAAATCAATAAATTCGTGGAAATTCTGGCAGATAGTGACTGATTTCATCTGGCTTGTTGAAACCGTGAAGGAAAAAGCGAGGTTTCAACTAAAATTTATTTTTCTTTGAATTCAACTTCAGACAGTCTTCATAACTAATTTTCTTTCTATTAATTCCACAAAAGTACATAAAGCCTAATTGAGTTGGGAGATTCATGATAAAAATCGCAGTAGGCCGTGTCAGATTATAAACATTACTGTCTTTAGAAACCTATCCAAGAATTTCTGACGGAAAAGTTGATACTTTTTCGGAATTCAAGTACGTTTCAACCGTTTTTGATAATAAAAATGAATGTCAAACGTCGTTCTGTTGCCAATTCTTGAGTCAAACCAATTGATTTAACGTCAAACTTTGCATTCGAAATTTCGATTAGATTGGAAGGCAAGTCTTTTTTCCCACCTACATCAAAAGCACAGACAAAAAAAAAACACTTTATTCAAATAATAATAACAGGGACTTGAGAGATCAGTATTGTGGCCCTAAAGAGGGCCGTTGGGTTCGGTGACGGTGAGTCGGAACAAGAGTTCTTATTCCTTGTCGCCGGCAGTCTTCTTGGGCAGAAGGCTGGCCTGGATGTTGGGCAGGACTCCTCCCTGGGCGATGGTGACGCCGCTGAGCAGCTTGTTCAGCTCCTCGTCGTTGCGGACGGCGAGCTGCAGATGCCGGGGGTTGATGCGAGTCTTCTTGTTGTCGCGAGCAGCGTTGCCGGCAAGTTCAAGAACTTCGGCGGCCAGGTACTCGAGGACAGCGGCCAGGTAGACCTGCAGAAGTGAACATGAGAAAGAGAACTCGTGGAAGTAAGTCAGAAAAAGAGGAACGAAGACTCACCGGTGCTCCGGCTCCGACGCGCTGAGCGTAGTTGCCCTTGCGGAGAAGACGGTGCAGACGACCGACCGGGAACTGGAGTCCGGCTCTCGAAGAGCGCGACTTGGCCTTTCCGCCGGTCTTGGCTTTGCCTCCCTTTCCACGTCCAGACATGATGCTTGAAAACTGCGAGAAACTCTCGATAAGGCCGTCCGACGCGTTTTCCGCATTTATAGGTCATCGCGGCGGGAGGCGGGGTCAATAAGGCGTGGTCAGCCGAGGCGCGCTATAAAAGCGTGCGACGACGACCTTCCGCCATCACTTGCTCAACAGCCAGTTCATCGCCATGCCACCCAAGCCGTCCGCCAAGGGAGCCAAGAAGGCCGCCAAGACCCAGAAGGTCTCCACCGGAACCAAGAAGCGCCATCACAAGCGCAAGGAGTCCTACTCCGTCTACATCTACCGTGTCCTCAAGCAGGTAACCACTTGTTTCTCATCTTCCTTCAACTTAAAAGTGATCTCATCCTAAATGTCCTCTTCTACAGGTTCACCCCGACACCGGAGTCTCCTCCAAGGCCATGTCGATCATGAACTCGTTCGTCAACGACGTCTTCGAGCGGATCGGAGCCGAGGCGTCGCGTCTGGCCCAGTACAACAAGAGATCGACGATCTCTTCTCGCGAAATCCAGACCGCCGTCCGACTCATCCTGCCTGGAGAACTCGCCAAACACGCCGTCTCCGAAGGCACCAAGGCTGTAACCAAGTACACTTCCAGCAAGTAATCGACTTCTCTTCGGAGTCGTGAGCAAGAACCGAACCCAACGGTCCTCTTAAGGACCACAAATATCCACCAAATCCGGAGTATTTCATTGCTTTAATAAATTATTTCATCTGTTGTGGAATTTAAAACGAAGGAAAATCGTTCTGTTATCCTTTTTTGATGTCACTATTTGCTTGACATCATCATAGTCGTCATCATCATCATACATCCTTATCAGAAATTCTTTCAATGAAAATTCGTTGATTTCAAGCTGATAAGAAAACAATTCCTTATTATCTACACTAAAAATGAGGTCAATAACAGGCGCAGGAAAAATTTGAATCTGGAAATCAACTTTTTTTGAGTCAATCCAAAATTAACGTGAAAAAAAACTCGAATTAGAAATATATATTTTTTCGAGTACCCTTAGAAGTTTCCAAACGTCATAAAATCGTTAGAGCTTTAGAATTTTTTGGAAAGGCGTATTAGAATACGCTTGTTGTTCATATTTCTTATTGAAATAAATCGCAGTAGCCCGTGGTGCCCGATTTTATTCGAAAACCCGGAGAGTCATGCTTCTGATTTTCGTTTTGGAATGGACAATGTTTGAATGAAAAACTTTATTCAAAAGTCGAAGTGGTGCTCATTCGTAGGCACGAGCGTTGGCGTCACCTCCCCACTGGAGCCAGAGAAGGCCGTTGGCCGAGGCGACGAGGGCCGCGAAGACGGTGAGGACGGTGGAGGACGACATCTTCCGATGGATTCTGAAGAGGAGGAGGCCCTTTTATAGGAAGGATCTGGACGGTTTAGTGAAAGGAGTTTAATTGAAGGATGGGAACTTTATCAAGTCCTGAGAAGCTTCCATGAACTTCTAGTCCGTTCCCATTCTTCAATTTAACTGTTCCTTGAGAACTTCCTAGATCCTTCCTATTAAAGATTCCATCTTCCCCTCCAGAATCCATCGGAAGATGTCGTCCTCCACCGTCCTCACCGTCTTCGCGGCCCTCGTCGCCTCGGCCAACGGCCTTCTCTGGCTCCAGTGGGGAGGTGACGCCAACGCTCGCGCCTACGAATGAGCACTACCTTCAACTTCTGAATAAAGCTCTTTTATCCAAAAATTGTTCATCAAAGAAAATGCATAAAAAACGAAGAAACAAATAACAAAACGCCGAATCATCAAGGAAAAATAGCGCTGATAACACGCTCCTCAGCGACAAGTTGTGTACTATTTTCTTGCCAAAAAAAGGTCCATTCAGGAAGTCAAAAGATTCGAAAAAAAAAACATTTATAAGTCAGCTTCAATTCTTTCCCTTTCGATTCAGTCGGAATAATAGAAGCGGAGCAAAGGCTTTTATTTTAAAAAGCAGCTGAAAAGTTGGAAGTTCGGCTTTATATTATTTTTTTTTTTTTGATTTTCAAATTGTTCTGATTGCCCTATATGAGTTGTAGGAAGCTTACGCACATCTTTCACTGGAACAATTTCAAAATTTTTAATTTTTGCAGAAGAGTGTCTGCAAGTGGGCAATTGACAAGCCGTGAAAATTCACCCGCTCTGTTTCAAACTATTAGCTTCCGAGCATTTCGAGAAAAAAATTCAATAATAATATTTGAAAACCGCTACCACTGTTCAGAAACGTTTTCGAAGGTACATAACTCAGTATCGGCTCCGATTCACACTAAAAAAGGCTCGTGGCCTGGAAAACTATCAATTTCTTCTAGCGACTATATTTTTTTAAATTATTCAATCTCCATAAATTTTGTAAGAAAAAAGTGCATTTTTTTGACGTCAGTTATATTCTTTTCGATGAGAAGAATAACATATTTTGGATAAGAAAGCTTTATTCAGAAGTCGAAAAGGTGCTCATTCGTAGGCACGAGCGTTGGCGTCACCTCCCCACTGGAGCCAGAGAAGGCCGTTGGCCGAGGCGACGAGGGCCGCGAAGACGGTGAGGACGGTGGAGGACGACATCTTCCGATGGATTCTGGAAGGGAAGATGGGACCTTTTATATGTGGAATCTAGACAGTTCTCAAGGACATGGCAAATTGAAGAATGGGAGCTGACTGAAAGTTCATGGAACTCTCTCAGGAGTCGGGGAGATTCTCATACTTCAATCTAAATTTTCCTTCAGAACCGTTCAAATTCTTCTTATAAAAGGGGCCTCCTTTCCTCCAGAATTCATCGGAAGATGTCGTCCTCCACCGTCCTCACCGTCTTCGCGGCCCTCGTCGCCTCGGCCAACGGCCTTCTCTGGCTCCAGTGGGGAGGTGACGCCAACGCTCGTGCCTACGAATGAGCACTACTCCAACATCTGAATAAAGCTTTTCATTCAAACATTGTCCATTCTGAAACGAGAAGCAAAATCATGAGCTTGGATTTTCAAAATTCAAGGATTTACATTCGTTTTTTGGTTCATGGCGTCGTAAAAAGGCATTACCAAGCATTGAGATGAAAAGCTGAGAGCTTACTTAAGATTTCGGAGAGCCAGAACCAGAGGTCATTTTCATATCCACAAATTATAGGTCATTCCGCGCCAGCTTGTCACGATTTTAAATTTCCTTGGAGCTAGAGAACCCATTTCGGCGCTTCGCTTCGATGCTCTCGGTGTTCCCCCTTGCGTGCGCCTTTAATAAAACATTATTTCTGATCAAGATATTGCTTCAATTTTCTCTCTCTTTTTATTAATTTACGAGGTTGTTTTTAATGGATTGGTTTCCTTTTTCGCTTCAACTATACACACTCAGATTCTGTGCTGTATTTGTAAAAAGAAAAATCAAAAAGATTGAATTATTACTTTTTTTAATTGTTATTAATGAAACCGACTGTTCGAGCTTTTTCTTGCATATAATTTTTTTGGGTTAGTTTGATATAAAATTTGAAGTTACAACTGTTTTTTTGTAGAACAAGAAAAAAAGAAAAAGCACACCGACAGCATCGAAGCGAAGCGCCGAAATGGGTTCTCTAGCTCCGAGGAAATTTAAAATCGTGACAAGCTGGCGCGGAATGACCTATAACATTGAACGCAATAAATGACTGCAAAACTATCTTAAGATAAAAAAAAATGAACAAATCCACGATTTTATAAATTCGAAACGTCGACCACGTCAAAGTCAACGTGGCACTCCATTCCTATAAAACGCTGAATTTCAGTTCGAAAATGTTCATTCTTCGATTTCTTCCTTCTTCTACGTCGAGTTAAACGACTTCTGGTTCGTTTTTGTTCTAATCTTTCTAGAGCTCTTGCTGGGATCCTTGAAATAAACTAAAATACACTGAAAAGGGCTCCAAACTCGGTAAATTTCTCGTTTTAGCGTTTTTGACCACCCAAGCAATGACTTCCAAACAGGAGAAATTCTATTTAAATTGTCAAATTTAAGAGAAACGATGCCGATTCAAAACGACATCGTCGGCAAGTGGAATTTCGCGACGAGCGACAATTTTGAGGCTTATCTTAAGGAGGTTGGTAATTTTTGATAAATTGTACTCAAAGTCAAGAGACTAGCAAATGAGCAGCAAAAATATTTTTCAAGATGAAACGATAAATTCAGAAGTTTTCCGGAGCCTCTGAAAAAAATAAATTCTGAGAAGGGATCCCACTACAATATTCTTCGCGCCTTTGGAAATTCCCCAAAAAAAATGCATACTTCAAAAATTGAAGGTAGGCGTCGGGATGCTTTTGCGTAAGATGGCGGCCAACATCAAGCCGACGTTGGACATCAAGATCGAGGGCGACGAGTGGACGATGACGTCAACCTCGTCGTTCAAGACGCACGCCGTCAAGTTCAAGCTCGGCCAGGAGTTTGACGACAAGACGGCCGACGGACGCGATGTTCGTTTTTCTAGGCGACTTCATTTGAAACCATTGAAAAAATCTGACTTATAATTACTTTTAAACAACTTTATAAGACATTTTGAGCCAAACAAAAATCGTTTTAAGGTAACATGATAATTTAAAGGTCTTGTCAAAGTTCACTGTTGAAAACGACAAACTAGTACAAAAGGAGACGGGGAAGAACGGCGGCAAGGATTCGACTATTCTGAGATTCGTCGAGGGCGGCAATAAACTGAGCGTCGTGAGTTTTTCTTGATGCTCTTGGGAAAAAAAACAGTACTCGCCAAGGACTACTTGGAGAGGACACTAGAGTGGTCACTAAACCCAACTCTTTAGTGGCCACAATTTTCCGTTTTAGTGGCCACTATAGAAGTTCTCTATTTAGTGGCCACTTCAGTAGTTTTTAATCCAGTATTCCTTCCAGTAACTATGATAATTTTAAAACAAACAGATTGGACCAGTTATGTTGATCCATTGACCCCTAAAGTGGCCACTAAAACTTTTAGTGGTCTAGTAGTAGCACTTAGACCTCTATAGTGATCACTAATTTTTAACCCCTTAAGTGGTCACTAATTTGACTACGCTAGGAAATGTAGATATTCTGAAGCTCGTTTTACAACAAGCATTTAGAAAATAAATTGAAACTTAAAAGTTGTCTTTCCGGAAGACGATCTATAAAGCTGAAAAACCTAGAATTTTTCGAACTTGTATTAACTTTCAAATATTTTCAGACTTGCGAATGCAACGGCGTCAAATCGGTCCGCACCTACGAAAAAGCCGCTTAGAAGGACTGAAATCCGTCGAGAATCGGCTCGAAATTATACAACGGTACACAATGATAAACCTTTTTTTTATTATCAATTATCACAGTTTCATAAATTTCAAACAAGCATAGAAGGAGGGAAAAGACTGGAATTACCTCGTATTTACAGAATCTTTTGGGATCGCAAAAAAAATACATGAAACATCAATCGAAATGCACATGGGAGCTGTGAGCAGATTCGGTCGCGGAGTTTGAAAAGTTTGAAAAAATTGTTTAACACCTGAAGTGGAGAGAATATGTTTTGCTTAAAAAATTGCGTGCAGAGAAAAAAGCCCAAAGCTTTTTCTGGGGAGAGCATGTGTTTTTCCGGGATTTTTTGGCTCCGTTTTCAAGGTTAAAGAAAAGCGAGGGAATAAAGGTACATGAAAAAGACATCTTTCAAAAGAAAAGTAATTAGATAACGTCTTCATCAATAAACTTGATGGAGCTGAAACTGGCGCCGAACGCTTTGGCAGGGGTTTTCGAGACGTGGGACACTCGACGCGAGTTGCAAACGCAGAAAAGGATCAGGCAGGCCAAAATGATGGTTATCACCAGGACGACGATGACGATCACGTGCGACATCATCGAGATGTAGGATTCCTTCAAAATCGCCGACTTATTTTTGAATTAATTCTTGGAAAAAAGACCTTTCCTACAAATTTCCTGCCAGAAACTTGAAATTTTACCATTAAAGAAATTCCTTTTGTTCATAACTTTTACTAGAACTTAATATATTTACTTTGTAACTAGTAATAAGTAGTGATAAAAGAAAGAATTCATCTGGAAGTTCAGAAAAAAATATAAAGTTTTTTTTTCAAAGTTTTAGCTGAAACTCACGTCCAACGGCGCAAAAACACACAGATCGCTATTGGCAGCGGTCCTCAGGAAAGGGCATTTCGGATCAGGACACAAAATCGGATCGGTAGAAGGTCGGTATTGCGCCAGGCTGCAAGAGAAAAAATGGCAAAAGAGAATAGGTCCCACCGAGATTCGAACTCGGGTCGCAGGATTCAAAGTCCTGAGTGCTAACCACTACACCATGGGACCGGCCGACGGCAAAGAGGCCACTCACCGACTAGGTGCCCGTGTCACGAGCGCATTCCACATGGCCAAGTGAAGGAGAGATAGACCTCGTTCGGAGAAATGGGCGCAATCGTAACCAAGCACGCTCAGGTCAGCCCTGAAGTGATAACTTGAAGCTTGAATTGAAATGACTGGAAAATTCAGTTTTTATGCTGGAAATGAAACTGAAAACACGATAGCCTTGAATGAAATTGCAAAAAAATTTTTTTTCAAAAAACTGGTATTAAATTTTCAGTTGAAATTTTAGTAAAGTTAAGGAAGTTTTTCGCTTTTTTGGCTTGAAATTATGCTAAAAAATGTTTTTTAATGGGATTTTCTCACAAGTTCTTTTTCTTTTGGAAGATTGTCTATGATATTTTGCATCGGAATTTGACCAGACGTCCCTAGAGTGATCACTCCGACTTTTGAATGAAACATGCGGACAATTTATTTTCATTTTTCGGCTCGAAATGCAGAAATTTTGGAGGTTTCAACTGAAATTTTGTATAAAAAATTTGAAAAGTTGTTTGGAAACTCTTGAAAATTATTTCGAAGATGCAGAGATATGAACGCGAATTCTGGGAAATCATATCTTCATAAATGGAAGTTTTTGCAGTCAGGGACTGTCGGATTCTGAATCACGTCAAACTGTTAGTTTTCTGAAGTTTTAGTACTACGGTTGTTCCTGTGTTACACATGAGAATTAGAGTATTACTCCTTCAAAAAGGGAAACTTTCGCAGGTAGCATCTTGAGAAACTCCAATCTATCATTCAAAAAGTGTTTTGTAGGTGGGAAATCGGCAAATTCGCACCAAGACACCTCCGTTGCGAGAAATGTTCGAACTTTCTCATCTTCTCACTTCGCCGCTGATTGCAGGAGGCATTCAAACCCGTCGGTTCGGGTCGTGCTCCAGGCGGCGTCGCCTGTCACTCATCAGGTGCCAATCGGCCAACCCTTTATCTGCGAACAAAAGGCGGAGCTACCAACTGGAGCCGACGACTTCGGGTTCGGTTCATTCTTCTCACTTGTTCTTCTACGGTGTGGCTGCTCCTATCTATTCCTTCCTTTTCTTGTCCCTTTTTTTTCTCGAAAACAAGGTTATTTTTTGTGGTTGAGAATTTTCTGGTCAAAGTACTTCTTCATTTACTGAAGGAATACACCTGGAAGGTCTCAACCTGCAAAACTTACTAGTTTTCGAGAATTAAAGACTCAAAGAGGTTCTTGATTTTGAACTGTCTTTTCTCGAAAACTAGGAGGTTTGAGAACCTTGATCTGATACATTAAAAACTGTTCTTCCATTTTCTGCTCATCTTTTCTTATTTCCAACCTTCCTACTGTAGAAACCGTCTCACTAACCTTTCTCCAAACTGAATTCAAACTTCTCTTTTTATTGATTTATCCTTCACTTCTACAGTAACCGATTCAACACGGTGCCTTTTTGAGTTTCAAAAATCTCTAAAGCCATAGTTTTCTTCTTATGAACCTTTATTTCAAGAAACTGGATTTTTCTCTAAATGAAAAAAATATACTTACTTACTTAGTTAGATGATCCATCTTCGCTTTCGACCTTTTATTGCCTTTTTAGTGCCTTTTTATTGATCGAAGCGTGGACCACACGTTTTCCAGGAGATCTTATGCAATCGGTCATCCAGTGTTGTCGTCCTGGTTGACTGGTATTCTTGCGAAAAAAAGTTCCATCCGTGGTGTTGAACGTGTTATAGCATAATTGTGGTCTTATTATCCTTTTTTTGCCTTGCCAGGGCTAAAAAGACCGCCCATTCTGTTAGCAGAAGCAAGCCGAATTGCGTGACCGGTGTACCGTTAGCCGCCATAAATGGCTCCTCCCCATCACCGCGTAGAGGTGGTACTTGAAGGGATGAAAAATATATTAATATCAAATGTTTCGTATTGTTTTTTAAAATCCCATAAACATCGCTAATGATTCTTTCTCGTTATTTGCTTCTCTGGGTCAAAATTTAATTTGAAAATTTGCAGACGAGCTCAGAAATGTTCTTCTTCCCCCAACTGGCGTTCCCGATGAATCCCGGTTTGTTTTTAGATGTAAAACTTTTTCAATAAAAAACAATTTTGAAGAGGGATCTACGATTGAAGTCATGATCGAGATGGATTCGATTGATGGGTACGCCCGGGACGTTCATGCTCAAATTATGGCCCTGATTCCTTCGGAGCTCACCAGCACCGGATTTATCACTGCCGATGAGTTCGTCATCATGACCAAGTGAGTTTTTTCTTCTTTTTTTTTTAACCAAAAATTGAAATTTTGTAGCTGAAACTTCAAAAATCTTTTAATCACTTTTGAGATTTTAAAAAGTGAGAGAAAAAGAAAACCCGTTCTCAAGTAATTACACGTTGCCAACTTTTCCGCTACTTGTCCTCGAAGTTTTCAAAAAAGGAAACGTTGATATTTTATTATTTCATTAGTCAGCCCTGGTACATCTATTTTCGCTCCTTAAAATCCAAATTTATCAAAGTTATCATTTGAGATGGCTGCTGAAGATGCGGCTCGACGAGATCCGTCGTCAGCGAGGAATCGGATGCCAGGAAGACCACCTAGATTTCGGCGAAATCGAGATGCCGTGGCCACTGGCACGGGCCATCAATGCGATCGGCGTCACCTCGGTCGCCAACAACGTCGTGATTCTCGTGCCGACGACTCCGCCGGCTCCACTTGACAAGGCGCTCTACATCCGCAACTCCATGACGCCGATGATTTTCTACCGATGGTACAAATGCTTGGCCATGCTTCGGCTGACAAAGCGGCCTGAGTGGCAGCCCGTGTTTCTCAGCAACAACTTCGACGGAGGCGTCTTTTGGGCACTCAAGGTGTGTTTTTTTGTTTTCTACACAAATTCTGAAAATCTTTCCGACTCTCACAAATTCTGATGGTTTTTTTCCAACTTTTCTGATAAGCTAGAAAGTTGTGAAGGTCTACATCACTAAGTAAACTGGCAGATTCCCAGAAAACTTTGTTCAAAAACTTAAACGAGACTTCTTCAGGTGGTCAACGAGAAGAACGAAGTGCCAAAGAATCGTCACGAGAAGAACCTTGGAATCGTGGCGTCTTTTTCGGAGATTTCGGTGGAAGACGTGGCCATGGCGGTCGCAGTCTTCCTCGGGGTTCAGTTCGATCCCGTTTCCAAGGACCTCCACTACCAGAGCCGCCACCCTATCGGGGACGTCGGAGCCTTCCGCACCGCTCTTATTAACAATCTTCCGCCTCACACAAGTTCTTAATTTTTTTTAAACTCCAAATTTGATCAGATGAAACTGCAAAAATCTTATTTCTCTGGTAGGATTTAGAACTGCTAGTCGAAATTGATTTTTTTTTTTCCAATTCTCTGTTATGTCCTCTCAACGACTAGCTGAACATTGTAAGCACGCTCTTTTTTGATGTATTTCAAATTTATTATTTTGCGGCAAACATCATATTTTATATTATGGTACATTTTAATTGACTTTAGCTACCACGGGAACTGTTTTCGCTTTAGCTTTTGCCGGGTATTATAAATTCACGAGTTTAAGGAGAGCCTTAAAGAATTTTTTTGAGCATTGTGAATATTAACTCAAAAACCACAATCATTGAGATCAAAAATTATCAAAAAACGAAATCCAAAACGTTAAATGTGTGTTCCCGCCAAAAGCACGACTTTTTTTCCATTACAAAACTACCCAAGCTCAAAAACTCATAATCAATTTTGCCTTTTACGTCTTTCTCTTCCGTTCTTGGTTCATCTACAAAATTGAAAGATTTTGTACGAAGTTCTTATTTTTTTTGTTCATGCAACTCTCTCAATTACCTTGTTTTTCCTTCTAATTTCTTGTCTTTTTTTCAAGCTTCTATGTGTATTTTTTTCTTGTAATTTTTTTGTATATTTTTCAATAAATTTAATCATTAAACAGTCTGTTTTCGCGAACTCAGAAAAAAAGAAGACATGGAAAAAAATTTTTTTCAAGACAAAGATTATAAAACAAGCTGTTTTTCGAAAAATTGATAAGATAATAAAGTCCTGAAATGAGACCTAAATCACTTGTAAAAAAATTTCAGAAAACGTAAAAAAAGAAATCAAAAAAACGCTACTAGTTCATACTTACGGTGATCAAGTGAATAAATTTTAAAAAAATGGAAGATTTTGCTTGAAAAAAAAAACCCAATTCCAAATTTTTCAGAGTGACTTTTCCTAATAATATTCCATGTCGGTTTTTGAAAATTCATGAAAAAGGAAAAAAAAATACACTTTCCAAGAAAAAAATCTAGCTCTCTTCGGTGATTTTTTTCAATAATCTACCTGTTTTAGATTCAAAATTTCGAAAAAAGAAGAAAACCCACATGTTGGGAAGATTATTCAGGGCGGCGTCTCTGAACAAGGGCAAAATCTCGACGCTAAAGTTGGGCCTGAGGTAGTTCTTCTGGACGATGATCTCGACCTGGTCCCAGACCGAGTTGTAGTTGAACTTGTTGTGCACCTTCCACTTGGAAAGCTGGGTTCGACAGGCCTAAAGCGATATGTTTTCACGTTTCAAAGAAATCTTCGAGTTAGACCTCATTAGCGTGACTAGCATCTCGCCAAAGTCCACTTCCAGAAGTTCTCAAGACGACGACAAAAGTTTTCTTCGGCAAGAGTTGGCCGAGTTCTTGGATCGCCGCCAGAACTTCTATCGCCGTTTGGCCAGTTTCCGAAGCTGTGCCGTCCTGAAAAATGAAGAAAACTTTATTCCTTTTTTTTGAGGCTGGTGAGAAAAAAATCGCTACAAGTTCAGTTTTTTTGTATAGAATTTTCTCAAGGTTTCCATGATATTGATAGGCGGGGATTTTTCCTAGTAAACAGTCCTGTAAGAGGGCTTTTTTCAGAGTCTTCCAGAACCTACTAATTTTCAAGTAGCTTATTAAAATTCAAGCGATACAATCCCGCATATTTTTTGGGTAGAACGAATTATAGAGCATAAAAAAATACAGCTTTTCATTTCAATTATTCTCTATGGTTTTCCTGAAATGTCTTTGAAAGATCCCGAAAAATCCCTCACAGTCAAGACAATGAAAAATGGAGATTCTTCATGTCAAAACCTTTGATAAACTGCTCTTTTCTTCAAAAACTTTTTTTCTGGAACTACTAAAAGTATGAAGTGGACCATAGGAAAAACAATTATTCCATAGGAAGAATATATTATTTACAAAAAAATAAACAATATCTTCTAACTGAAAAAAATATGCCAAAAAAATAGAGAAAAATCAAAAGAATAGAAGTAAGTAATTTTAGTGAGGGACATCCAACTGACAAAAAAATTTTTAATTTTTTTATTCAAATTTTCGGCCAGCCCTCTGTGATAATATCTTATTTCATATTTTATAAACTTTTTTTGTACCCCTAGAAAAAAAGAAAAAGTCATTTTTTTATCGTACATCTTTCATTTAAGATTTCAAACTAGACAAATAAAAACCCTCAAATCGTGAAAAAAAATTTTTCACTACAAATTTCAACCCCTTTTCTAGAGTTCCGTTTGTTTTACATCACAGAAATTCACCTGAATAGTCGCCGTGATGACGATCATCTTCCACATTTCCTCATAGCCCGGTATTCTGGTTATTTCATCGGCTATGCTTCTGGAAATTGAAAAAATTATTTATGAATTTCCTGAAGATTTCCCACTTTGCCTGATCAGGCAGAGGATCCTCCAAATGATTGGCATCGATCGTTTTCAAATCTGCTCCTCGAATTTGTAGCATTTTGGGGAGAGATGGAAGCTTCATGGTGTGTGATCGTTGCTTGCAGGAGCCGAGGATTCCTGAGAAATTTCAGTAGTTTTTCATCCATTATTCCTCCCAGTAACTCTGATAACTTTAAAACAAAAAGATTGGACCAGTTATGTTGATTCATTGACCCTTAAAGTGGCCATTAAAACTTTTAATGGTCTAGTAGTAGCATTTAGACCCCTACAGTGGGCACTAATTTTTAACCCCTTAAGTGACCACTAAGTTGACTACTCTAGTGGCCACTCAAACTTCAAAACCCTATACAGGCCACTAAAAATGTTCCCAGTATCGGAGAGAATATTTTTAAGTTGTTCTTCAAGTCTGAGCTTATCAAATATCGAATTTCTATAAAGTTTCAAAAATCCTTCTCCCTTTATTTTTTACTCCGAGCCTTTCTTACTGGATTCATTTGAAACTCTACTTCTTTCCCTCAAATCAAAACCCGGCAAAAACGGTAAGTAAACTGAGGTACCGAAATCGGACGCCATGTAAACACCGGCTTTCCATCACAAAACTTCGCGTTGGCAGCTCTTCCGATGGGGTTTCAGGTTTCAGAGAGAGGTAAAAACTTCGGTGAGGAGTCGAGATTCACATTAGGCAAATATTTACTCAAATGCCATGAAATTGGCTTGATGTGTGTTACGTTTTTGCCTCGCTTCGAATCGAAAAAGGCGTAATTTTTTATTTTGAGTATAAAAGACAGCAAAAATGGTAATTCACCAAAAAAAATCTTTTTTCTCAGTTGCTTGTTTTGAAAACATCTAGCCGCACTTGGAATGGCTTTACACGTTTGTAAGCCTAATGGGCGTTTTTTCCAATGCCCTCGGGCGCAAGCCGTTTCGTGTCGGGCGCGTTTTAGAGTCCGCGGGAGTTACGCAATGAGCCATCCCAAAAAACAAAAAACTCGAAAAATTCTTTCCAATAAAAAAAAATGAGAGAAAACGTATATTCTTTAGAAAACTCTGTCAGGAAAAATTGAACACCTTCAATTTTAAATATTTTGAAGTTGTCAAATCCTTTAGAAAAATTTCAAATTTATGAAATTTCAACTCGATTTATACTAATTTCAAAGTCGAAAGGTCACACTTGAAATAGCCTGACGTTCAATCACTGCTCAGCGGTTGCAACCGACCAGAAACGACTTGCGCGCAGGGCCATCGGATCATAAATTTTTTGATGTTTTTCCCAAAAAAACACAGAAATTAGTTTTTTTCCGACAATTTATGAAATACCTCAGACCTCCCAGCTCAGAAATCGGCATTAAAACAGAAAACCAATTACTCTTCTTTGTCATTCATTTCTCGGGATCATTCAAACAAAATCCGACCCGAAATTGGAAGCCCTCGTTCTTGGAAGTGTCCCCTTCTCTTCAAATGAATTAGAAAACGCAATTTCGAGATGGTTTTCCCTCGGGGGAGAGGAAAACGAACGGCCGAACACAGAAACATTTTGCACTGCCATATGTTCAAATTATGGGCTCATCCGACGATTAACAGGCGGATTGGTGTGGCGCTATTGAAAGGCGGCACGGTGAGACCTTTCAAGAACTTTGAACTTTCGGAACGGAGCGCAGAAAATTGCAACAAAAAAATCAGAAAAAGAAAATATGAACACAATTTTACATTTTCTTCAAACTTTACCATTTTTGGCGGGGAAAGTCTTTTAAAACCGGCCTGGTGACAATTCCGTAATTTCGAGAAATAAAGACAAAAATACTATCAATCTTTATGAAATTTTCGAAACTGCCGAGGTTTCTTAAATTAAATTTTTTTCAAACTTAATAACTAGAAAGAACTAACTTTTTCAAACCCAGCTTTCAACACAGACATGGAGAAAAATACCATTTTTCAAGTTACAAAAAATTTTCGAATTTTCAAAATTCACCAGCACTGAGGAGCGTATGATTGCTGGGACAATAGGACGAAAGTTGGCCCATCTCGGCGTAAATGGCAATGTCCTGGGGCTGGACGGCGTTCGTGTCGAGACCCGGTTGGATTTTCGTCTCGGGACATTGAGCCAAGTCTCTGATGACGTAGTCCAGAGGGTAGTCCAAGGATTGCTCTTCAAGTTGTTCGGCCTGGAAAACAATATGTTTTTTCACTGTGTTAAATCTGAATCAAGTTTTAGCATTTTGAATGAAATTGAAAGGTTCCGAAGCTCAGTACAAAAATATATTAAAAGTTCTAAATAAAAAGTACAAGTTCTAAAAAGAAAGATTTCTGAGGCAATAAAGAAAGAGTGCAAAAACAACAGAAACAATTTTTCACTACAATGTGAAGCTTCTTAAATTTAATAAAAGAATTTTTTGTTTCACCAAATGAAAAATCTGATGAGAAACCCAAAAAAAGATTGATTCATAAAACCTCTGGTTACTTCTGATTTTGAATAGAAATGAAAACAAAAGTGGACAAGCTGAATAAACAAAAAAAACAGAAAAAAGTATCTGCGCGTCATTTAAAGTGTCTACTGTGTAAGACCTAATCCATTGCGTAAATAAGATCTACAGTAATTTAATATTCCCAAAATCAGCTCATTGCTTCAATTTCTTCGATAAAAACGCATGATGAATACATGAACGATTGACAAAAATAGATTTTTTTTTTCAAATTTTTGGAAAGTGACCAAAAAGCGACTTTTTTGAGCTCCGATATCTCCGAAATGCTCTAAACAGCTCAATTTAACACTGACTTTCTGAAAACTCGCGAAAATCCAATATTTTCCCCGTTCCCAAACCTGAACATTGATCAATTTCATCCACTGATCGTAGAAATCGCGGTCCGTCGTCAACTTTTCCTCGGTCCGGGTCAGCTGCTCGTCATTTTGAGCGATCGCCAACGAAACAACCACGAAAAATGATGTCGCGGCGAGATTTTGGATCCGGAAAAATCCGGCCATTCCCCAGGAGCGCCCAGAAGCCAATCGAGTAGTTGACTGTCTGAAAAATGCATATTAAAATAGTTGAAAGTTACAAAATGACTGAAAATCGAGGATGAATAAAATCTTACAAGCGTGCTCCATCGCAAAAAAAAATCGCCAAAAGAAATATCGCTTCATTTCCTAATTTCTCTATATTCTTTCTTCTTTTCAACGAATTTCTTTCGAAATATTTTTCCAAAAAGCTCGGAATTGAATCGTTTTTTTCTTAAGTTCATTGTATATATGAAGTGAAAAGCTGAAGAAAAATATCTGAACTCCTCATTTTTGGGGATAAATTATTACTGCTAACTGATTTTGTTCAAAAAATAATTTTCCATCTTTCCAGGAACACCTCAGAGTTGGAAATGCAAGAGAAACGGTGGAAAAAAGCCAGAAAATGCATATGCGATTGGGTGCAGCGAAAAGGGAAGGTAATGATGGATCGCCTGGGGGCGGCTAAAAAGTGGAAAAACAACTCGAGGCCCGAGTAATAGGTAATGTTCTTATAGTTCCATTGGTCTTTCCGTGCAGCTATTCATCAAGATATCCATCAGAGATCGTGTAAATATGCTATTTTCAGCTAGAAAGCTTGGAAATGATAAATGGAAAGATTAGTATTCATAGAGCATTTTATCAGCTTACTGGGTTTTCTGAAGGCATCATATATTCCACTAAAAGGGTTTCAAATGAAGAAAATAATATCTCATATTATTGTATTTTTATTGAAAATTTCAATAAACTTGAAATTGATCACAAATTATGAGATTAAAATCAACAAAAATAGGAAAAAAAAAGATGCAAACTTTCATAATACTTTATAGGAAGAAGTGAAGAATCTACAATCTTTTGAAAAATTATAGTTTCTTAGCAAAAAAAATTTTTTCCACGTAGTACAGTCGGAAAGAGGTTCAGAATCTTTCCATTTCTGAAAATATTTTGTTCCGTCCTCAAACCGATTATTAAAACGGAAAAGCCTTACAGAGCCTATAATAACACAGAAATCGATTTTCCTTTCGAGACTTTTTGAAATTCGGCCCCTTTGCGCCTTCAAGTTTCGGAAAAAAACGATCTTAAAGAAAAATTTCAAAAACTCAATTTTTTTAAAGTCCAAAAATTAGAAATTTCCAATTATTAATTGAAAACCTAGCCGGAATTTTTTTTCTACCAATTTCCTTCTCATTTTTTTTCTCCTCTTCACCATGGCGCGTTGCAAATTTGTTCCGAATTCGTAAATCACAAAAGGGTTTCTTTTTTCATCGTTCCGTCTTCTCAAAAAGGCAGAAAACACCCAAAACTCTGAAAAAAAGAAGGGCGATGAAACACGCAATTTCCACTAATGGAACCCACTTCTAATCGTCTTTTCTTCCGTTTCACTGCCCCGTTCCTTTTTTTTGTTCATTTTTAACTTTGAAAAATGAGTCAGAGTGAGAGATCATTGCAGTGCAGGCCGTTGAAGGGCAAACAGAGGAGGAAAATCCGAAAGAAAAAGAGAAAAAAATCATAGGAATTTTTTTAAAAGTTCAAAAAAAGTGTATTTAATCCCGGATTTTTTGCTAGTTTAGTCGGACAATTTCTCAGGCTTCCAAGAGCCCCGTTAAGTCCAAAAAAATTGGAAAATAAATGAGAGAGATTTCAAGTAAAATAGAATAAAAAAATGGAGCTTCCTTCAGAAAAATTGTCCGTAGAGCGCACAAAATTTTTAGGAATGCGGCCATTTTCATCAGCAAAAAAAACTTTTGACTCAAACATAAAGTCTCAGAAATTTCATTTGGACAAGAAAGAAAGCATTAAATTTACCGAAAAAAGTTAATACGGCAACTTCTTATAAGCTATCTATAGAGCGTAGAATTTCAAAGAACATGAGACTATTTTTTCTACTCTTTTCTTTTTCAATCAAACAAATCTCAAGCCAAATTTTGCTTAAAGGAGCCTTGAAAAACTCAAAAACCAGTTATTCTGAAGCCAAAATGCTCTGTAAAGCAACGAAAACGAAGCGAATCTCATTGAAAGTGCAGTCAACTCGTTGCCAGACAAAAGCAGGCAACAAAAAGGACATTGAACCTTTTTTTCCAAGAAAATTAGGTGTAAAAATAGATGAGGGAAAACAGCCGAAATCGATAGACGGAAAGAAATCAACAACAAAAAGGGGCGGGGCTTGAAAGATGACGACGGCAAAGGGGGGCGTGGCTTGTAATTTGAGTGTAATTTTGTGCGGTTTCAAAACGGATCGTTCTTTTTGAAAAGATTGAAAAAAATGCTCAGAACAGTTCTCCAACTTGTTCAAAAAATCACAGCTCTATTCAAATCGTTTCAAATCAAATGAATCAATTTTTTTTGAGCTTAGAAAAATTGATTTTTTCGGCTAGAAATAAAGTAATTTATCTTTTTTTTTTTGAAATATAAATCAGAGAACTTCTTTCAATAGAAGTGTTCAAACTCAATGAATTTATTCGTTTTTGTTGTGAAAAACTCCATTTTCCATCAACTTTTCAACCTGTTTCAACTTTCTGATTACTATGAAAATTATGAATAATCATTTAAAGAAATTTTGAAATACTATTATTTTGTATAGTTTACACTATTCTTATTGAAAAAGAAAGAAATCGCTCGATTTCAAAAGGAATTGAAAGAGAAATGACAGAAAAGTAGACAAGAATTTATTTTTATTCACACATATAGATAATTCCTAGTGTAAGCTCTTTGAGGAAAATTTGAAAAACAATAAAATGAAATTTATCAAATGATCCAGGTAAACTTCAGAGAACTCCTAATTCCTCTCCTTTTGACCAACTCGAAAAAAAAGCTCAAAAATAAACAAAAACAAGACAATTCTGTAAAAAAGGACATATTCTTAACTATTTTTTTGGAAATGATACACTTTGGCCAAGTCGCCGACTTTTTATTAGTGCGGCTTTGTTTTTTTATGGGCTCATTGAGTTGTTGCACGCAGAATGAAGCAAAAAAGGAGGAAATATTGATAAATGAAGAGAAGAGAAAATTGACGTAATTTTTTTGAAGTTTGACTATTCGAAAAAAAATCATATTTGTAGCAAAAAGTTTGATATTTTGAAACTTCAAAGCTTGAAAAAAATAAAATAAAAAAATGAGACTCTGTAAGTTTGAAAGATGATTCAGAGAAAGTTTAAAAAAATTATATGTGGCAGTAAAAAAAAAATTTTTTTAAATTTGAAGTTTCTAGGTTTGATGCTCCTATATGGAAAAAAATTGAATATGGGTTAAATCTCAAATTTGAAGCCTATTCAAAATATGAAGACGAGCCAAAAAAACTGCAATTTTTTTCAAGCTGATTTTTAACCATAAACCCTTCATTTCTTATCACAAGCGCAAAGAATAAAGTTTCGATTTCAAAGAATCCATTTTTAAAATTTCTCTCAAAAGATCAACAAAACCAAAAGATTGAAACAACAAAACACTTTTCCCGGGATTCACGGGAAATATGAGCAGCGGAAGGCCAAAAAAACTAGTCTTGAGGGGAGATTTTCGGGTGGATTTTCCGTGTACAGGGATTCAACGGTTTGGAGGTGCTCATGTGGAAGAATTTCGTGTGTTGCGGCAAAATTCTCCGCTCTTTGCAATTACTACCAGCTTCAGAACATGATATTTGTTGTTGTTGTTTACAAAAAGGGCAAGGTTTTTTTGGATTCAAATGAATCAAAATGGAAAAAAAGTAATTTATCTCAGTTTTCTTAGGAAATACAAAAAGAATCTTGAAATTCTAACTTTTTGTGAATCTTTGACTCAATAGGAAATGAAAAAATGAAGCTTCCATGTTTTTTTTTCACATGGAAGTTTTCATATTTTGGATGAAGATGAGAACGTAAATTATCTTTTTGAACAAAATTTGATATTTTCGCCAATCCAGGACTTTTAAAAATGATTTTCTTCTGTATAAAACTCATTCAAAAAATTTTTTTCGGAAAAAAATAATTAAAAAATGTTTTTTTACACCATTCAAGTTCTAAACTACAATATTCTTCGATAGTTCTGCTTAAACTTCTGAGAAAATTTCAAGTGGTCACTATAGAGGCTCGTCAAGGACTTTTTTGGAGAGGACACTAAAGTGGCCACTAAACCCACCCCTATATTGGCCACTATTTTCCGTTTTAGTGGGCGCTTCAGTAGTTTTTCATCCAGTTTTCCTTTTAGTAACTCTGATAATTTTGAAACAAACAGATTGAACCAGTTATGTTGATTCATTGACCCCTAAAGCCTAAAATTTCTAGTGGTCTAGTAGTAGCACTTACACCTCTATAGTGGCCACTAACTTTTAAACCCTTAAGTGGCCACTAATTTGACTACTATAGTGGCCACTAAAACGTCAAAATCCTATGATGGCCATTGAAAACTTTCCCAGTTTCCCGGAAAACTACCCCAAAATTCTCGGAAAATAAGTCTCAATATTGAAAAAAAGGTGTGAAAAAAAGCCATTGGCAAGGAAATTAATGGATTGTCTGGACGGAAGATTATCACACTTTTTCCTCCTCAGAAGAAAAAATCCAAGTTCAAAGAACATTTCTCAAAGTTCGGGGCATTTTTCCTTCAACTTCAGGTCGCATTCGAAATGGATTAGAGGTCACGTTACGGTTTGAATTAGAGCTTCAAAGATTGTCTTGGAAAAAATTGAGCCTTTCCTTTATAATTAAACTAAGGATATAGACTTTCAAAGGTCTCTTTGCTAATTATCGTAAAAAACGTAAAAATTGAACTAATTTTAATAAGTTCACCAAAAAATTTCCTACTAGTCCCCCAGCTTCCCCGAAAGAGGAAAACAAGAAAGTCGACGATTGCCCTTTTTTCTATGCAAATCGAGGTTACGTATAAAAATGCACAATTATTCAAAAATATGTTGTTTGTACAGGTTTTGTAGAAAATAAACCTATGCTAGGTTACAAAACCCGTGACTTTTATTATTTTACTATGACTTCCAAATGATCGCTCTTTTTCAGTTAGAAAACAGA